CCCCAAAACCCCAAAACCCCAAAACCCCAAAACCCCAAAACCCCAAAACCCCTTATAAGTTTAAAGAGGTTGAAGTTAACCAGGAATTAATATTTAGGTTATATTAATCTATTTCATAAATATTTCAAGATGTGTTAGGGAATCAGTCTTTGGTTTAGAGGAGCCTCTAGAAGGGATCTAGAGGGTTCTAAGATGAAGAGAGTGACTCCTTTGTGGCAATTATTGAATATTTGGAAATTAGGATGGATCAGTGCTTAGCTTACATCACAAACTGTCCAAACCACTCTTCCAAAACCTCCTCCTTCATCTTCTCCATTTTCCCATACGAATACCCCACTGGGACCAACAAAACCACCAACCTTGCCTCCATCCTAACCCCTATCACCCAATACGAATCTGCTGTAATTTTGTACCTAAACTTCACTCTAAAAGCTTACTCTTTCAGTAACTCATTCGAATCAAATTTTGATTTTATTATGTTCAAGTAATGCCGAATTTCTGTGGTCAAGTGATCGATGGTGATTGAAGGACAGATCTTAAGGGCGAGGTTTGTGGAGTTGAAGTAGAAGAATTTTGTATTGGAGGAGGCACGCATGTGGGAGAGGTGTGTGGTGTGCAGTCTAGAGGAGATTTTGGAGGATAATGTTTCTGTGATGAGCTTGGTCTGGTCGTAGAGGAGGGAGTATTGGGATTCTTCTAGGTGCTCGGTTTCTAGGAGGTATACAAATGTCATTTTTAGGAATTTCATTACTAGTAGTTTTGTATAAGACTTATTTGAATCGAAATCCTTTTTGATATAGATCGTAGGTACAAATATTTCAAAGCTTTTGAGTTCTTCAGGACTGCTACGGTCTATCTTTTTGAAAACAGATGGACCTGTGATAAATCCTTGCTTCTCTTGTTTGGTTCCAACAAATCCTTGGCAGTTTACTCTACAAAAGTCTGTATACTCATCATCTTCATTTGAATATTCCTCATAATTAATATCTAAATGCTCTAGTTGCTCCTTATTTTTCCTCTTCGAAATCACTTTCAGTGGCTTGGGAGGATGAATTCTTAGGTTTTTTCCTTAGAATTCTAGTTGTCTTGCCTTGAAGTCCTGCATCCATCCAATTTGATACGTATCCTTCTCGTATCTCACTGAACGGTCCTATTAGGTATGTATGCAAAATCTCTGTTTCTTCGTTGGGAATATTGCCATAAACATAATATTCTTGATAAAATATCGCAAATTTGGAAACATTCAATGAATGGGAGTATTTCTGTACAAGAAGATGCATTTTTGAATCTAACGGGCATATAGGGAATCCTCTATACATACTATTGTTAAAGTAACTCTTCGCTCAAGATCCCGAGAAGAAAAATGTATCAAACTTGGTTGTGAAATCCTCTAGGACATTGGCTAAATGCATTTGCCCTCTTTCCCAGACTGATCCTAACGAGAGGTGGAATAAGCAAAACAAGTCGTAGTAGAGTTTAAGAGTGTCATTAAGAATCTGAGTGTCTTCTTCTTTAAAGCTCCCATGTGTTGGCGTGAAGCTGCTCAGTACTCTTTCTCAGTGCTCATCTGAATTATCTGTGTATAGATTCTCATGCGAATATAATAATCAAAGGAACATATTTGGCTCTACTTGCTTAATTCACATAGTAAATAGGGAAGTATTTATTGTCTCAGTAGGATTATTAGAGTAATCATCACTTTCTTGGCAGAAAGCACTCATAAAGTCGATTGCTCCTTCTCATAGCCCAGTTTGTTTTCTTTGCTCATGCACATCTATAGCCCTGTCTAGCCCACCTGGCTGGTTACCAACCCCTAAATTCTTTCTAAAAATATCAAATTTAATATATAAGCCTACATTTTCGGGTGGAAGAAAAGTATCTTAGCATCTTGACAGGCATCCTCATTCTTCCTCTTACTTTCATGAGGTTTCAAGGTAGGATTATACAGAATAATATGAAGGCCTTGCTCAGCTTTGGGCTTTGTCTGCTGTTTATGCCCTTGATCTTCCCTCTCGTCAACCCCAGCCATTTGTAGTTCTAACTTTCCGTACATATTTATTAAATTTATAACAAAACGGCCTATTTTGAGCCTAAATAGGGGTTTTGGGGTTTTGGGGTTTTGGGGTTTTGGGG